TTTCCACGGTCTTAACTGCTGATACTTGAAAGCATGTGATAAACCTGCTGGATTGGGACCCTTCACGGCTGAAATTGTCAGCTCTGTGCTTGGATTGTCGGGAGAATTGCAGTATGTTATTGGATTTTCCTAAGAGAACTGTGGTTGTTTCAATTCTTATAAAAGTTCACTGTTGATTTAGCAAGGTTAACACAGATTAGGTCATACTGAAATCGTAGTAATCTCGCAGGGTAACATAGAGAGGTATAGGACAGCATGACATCATTGCAGCACTTTCATGAACTGCTCAACCATTTCAGGGCCATGCTGGTGCGGAGCCTATCCCAGGAAGTGTTGGGCCTAAGGCAGGATACACCCTTGATGGGACGCCAGTCCATCACAGGGCACAGCAGCATGACACGCTATGTGCTTGGCATTACTATGATCAAACCATGCTAAACTGCAAAAATGTCTTGCAAATTCACTGAAGTAACTTCTCATGAGGGAGTACAGTGCATTCAGTGCAAACATTTGCAAAATTGCAGATTCCTACGAAGTTCACCCCGAGGCCCCGGGCCAGAGACGGCTGTGCTCCTCCAGAGTGTGTCCACCCCTGGAGATTGACGTCACCGAGGAGGAGCTCCGGCTGCTGCGGTCAGTACCGGGCACAGGGCTCCAGCGGCCCCGGACCGCACCTCTTACCACCCAGGAACCACTTCTGGGCAGGAGAAGACACTACAGCTACTTCATTGCCAGTTCGAGAGGAAAAAGACAAAATTGCGTACAGAACTTTACAGCCACAAAACATAAAACTGTTTTCAGTCTCAATAGAATATTTAAACCATGTGTCAAAAAAGATCAGGGTATTCAAGCGACTTTTATAAAACTCGTGTGTGGCAAAACATGAGGTTGCACATCATGTGATGTTGCAAAGGCAGACCTTGCTCACTCTGGAAACCTTGGGATTCTCCAGATCCTGTCGGCCGTTCCTGAGAGACCTTGGACTGGAGGTGACTTTTGTGGAAACGGGGGCCCCCAGGATTCTGGTGGGGAAAGTGCCGGTGTGCTTTTTAGAGAGAGAGGCCAACGAGCTGCGCCGGGGGAGGCAGACTGTCACCAGAGCCATTGTGGAGGTGAGGAAGGAGCCCCAGTAGCCTGACGAAGACAGAACTGAGGTGCCAGGAACCTTACCCGATTTTCTAATGCTCTTGCACACCT